CGATTTCTTCATTGTCTTTCTTATGCCTTCACCCAATGAGCATCAAGAAACAATGACAAGCTTCACTATCTTACCTCCGCACATCCGGGACCAATCTCTTGCTGTATCGACCTCAGGGTAACTAGCCATTTGTCAGCGAACAAGCCCACACTTTTTATTTTCATAAGCTGTTCGGAGCATGAGGAGCTTACCAAAATTGGGAATCCTTCACCATGCCGCCATCTCAATTATTAGGGTAAACCATTAACATCAATTTCTCTATTGAAGAACTTGTTTCTCCTGCAGCAACCGGCTATCAAGACCTCGAGATCAAGACACAAAGGCTCACCGCAATTGTAAGGGCAGAAGCTTGCGAAAAAAAGAATCCAAATCTTCAACGCCGCCTTGCGCAGCCGCAGGGTCGTGCATTTTGGTGACACAAAACTTGTACTTAGTGAGCACCCCAATCGACAAAAAACACCCACGATCGAGCACCTCGAGCTGCAATGCTCGTGATTTCTTCTGCTGAGAGTTTTGTCAGGGATACTTTGAACTCTCCATCAAATGGTCTCACAGGTGTTCAAGTCTCGTGATTACACATTTTAAATGAGAACTTGTTGATTGAGCTATGCTGTGTGAATTCGCGTCCTTAGATTGATGTATATATTTAGTTATATGGGGCGCAAAGTCGGGTTTCACTCACATAGAAGCCTCACGGCAAACATCCCGTGACCGAGATTAGATTCACAGGTAATCTGTTAACACCCTAAGCACGTTGTCCTGGGCAAATGTGCCTCATTAAACAATGACCTTGCATTGCTACCAGACTAATTTTTTCCTCAACAAAAAGTTGCATCGTATTGGGACATCATCGTCAACAAAACTTGAACGTTCAAACAATTGAAAAAAAAATGGTAGTAGTGTTGACATCAGCCGAGGTGGATTGAGAACACAGGAGGCGGACAAAGCAAAACAACACACAGAGAGGTGAATAGGAAAAGACAGGGTAGAAACACAAAAATTGAGCATCAAAATGAGCGGGTCGTGGTAAGAGTCGTGGACGATGATGAACGGGATTAGAAGACAATTGTTCTCTCAATCCAGGGTGACTCTTAACTGCTCCAGTGGTATAGGCTCGAAATTTGTCAGATCGATGCCGCGTGAACGTAACTCCGCCTCAGAGAAAGGGGGAATCAGAGTAGAGTTCAGGTCTGGTCTGATAGAAAGCTCTGGAGAAGATGGAAGACAAGGGTCATTAGGGGCTGGATACTAGTCAAGATGGGGAAGACGTACCTTCACGAGTAAAGTTGAAGAGCACTGGGAGGTCCTTCCCATTTGGCATCCTTGTGCCCTCTTGGCGAAGTTCATCGAATAATGGATGGCACATTGCCTCGATAGAGCTCAATCTAGCTGTTGGAGTGTACTCGAGTAGACGCGATACCAAATCAATGGCTTCTGGAGATGTGCGCGGTCGGAACACCTATACAAACATCTAAGTACGCTAATCGCACCATATCTAATCAGAAATATTACCTTTGCGAATGGATGGGGTTTAATTTGCGGGAATTTATGTTCCATATAATTGGGGTTCATCGTCTTGATCTGCTCCCTTGTTGGCGTACCCAAGACTTTGATGATCTCAACCAATTGGTCGATTCCGCTCTCTCCTGGGAATAGTGGCTGTCCCAACATCAACTCCGCCATAACGCATCCAGTTGACCAAATATCAATGTTTGTAGTATAATTCGTAGCTCCAAAGATCAACTCTGGAGCACGATAATACCTAGAACAGATGTAACTGACGTTTGGTTCACCGGCAACCAAGATCTTGGCGGAACCAAAATCGCAGAGTTTGAGTACTCCCGTGGATGGATTCAGAAGTAGGTTTTGAGGTTTAATGTCTCGATGACATATGCCGACGGAATGAATGTAGGCGAGGGATCGGAGGAGTTGGTACATGTATAGTTTGATCTGCAGGTTGGGCATTGGCTGCTTGAGCTTGACATAGTGACGTGACGCTCGGTAGACGGTCTCGGGAACGAATTCTTGGACGAGATTGAGATAAACTTCCTCTTTCTGTGTAAAATGCGGGGGTACGATGGGTTAGGAACGTGTGTAAGAGACGGATGACGGGTGAGAGGAAAGGGCAATTGAGATGGGATTGAGCCCCCCATCCTCACCTTTTCACCATTTGAGTAGAAGAAAGCCTTGAGGTCAACGACATTAGGATGAGACAACAGTCGCATGATCTGAAGCTCTCGGTTCTAAAGGGTTGGCAAGTGCGGGGTAGAGCGGGAAGGAAGGGGAGCGTCGGTCAGTCAAAGCATGAATCAGATAGCGGACAACGGACCTTGAAGCGTTTATCCTGCAGTACTTTCTTGATGGCAATGTCCTCGTGGTCCTTTGGAACGCCAACCATCTTTGCCTGAAAGACGACACCAAAGGAACCATTACCGATGACCTTGCAGTTTGTATAGCAAATCTCCTTCTGCTCTCCTGTCTTGCCGTCAGACGCGATCACCTTTACGACTTTGTGTGGATCATCGATCGCTGTGATTTAGAATGAATGAGTATAGTGGAAAGGGGCAGAAAGAGATGCAACTCACGCGAGATCTTGACACCGTTGATTGGACCGTGAGTAGCCATTCTCAGAAACAGTTACTCTGATAGATTGAGATCGCAGTCTGAATCAGAATGCAACGGCAAGCTCAGCGTTAATGACGACGAGCGTGATCAAAGAGGCGATGATGACAAGTGGAGTAATAAGCAAAAAATGCAATCAGTAGACGATTGAGGAGAGAAAAGAAGGAAACTCCAGACGACCCGTAAGTGGTGGCACACGGAATCAAACAGGCAACGTCCTTGAATTGCACTCGTGACCTCATATTTGGCCACAAGGACAAACATCTACACAGCGTCACAGGATCCCGCCTCTCCGGTTGCCGTCAACGCCATTCCTACCGTCATGCTGCATTTTAATAGCGTATATACATGCCAGCGTAGTGAGGTCATGAATCTCAAAGATCGAGGCAAAGTCTCAGCTAGTATTTCATATTTCCAACCGCTGTCCACATAATCCTACTCAACGACTCTCAACTTGATTCGGGAGGATGGCCGAGTGGTTTAAGGCGCTGCCCTTAAGTTTATTAAGATATGCAGTGGTTATACCTCGTGGGTTCAAATCCCACTCCTCCCATCAATTTTTTGTTATACAGTGAGTGATTTTAGCTCACAAAGCCACCAGCACGAGATTTATTTCATTGCATTTGGACAGACAATTGACTTCAATAACCTGAACTCTAAGAAGCAAGTTTCGCATCCAATTCCTTCTTGACAGCTTCATAAACCTCAGGAATGCTGGGGGTGGCGTCAATCTGGGGTTGAAACAGGCATTGAGCACGCACCCCAGGAACATAGAACATGTCACTCACCTCGACAACTTTGTTCAACTTACGATAATGCTCAATGACAGGCATAGTTGTGTCTTCATAGGTCTCTGATTGAATATAGATCGCCATCAGATAAATTCAGTTGAGCTGGGAATGAATTCCTCTTACTGAATCGCTTCTTGATGCTCTCGATATTGTCATCCTCTCTTCCACTAGTCTTTCCCCGTTCGGTAAGACGTTCAAGCATCACTTCCTCGGTAGTCGAGAAGAACAAAGTGAAACGCGACAAGCAGACCTGAATATAATATCAGCAAACTGGGATCGCAAAGTAACAAACCCCACAAAACCGACCTCGTCATCAAACTGCTCAGCCTGGTCCATCTTTCTCGGGAATCCATCAATCAAAAATCTTCCTCTACCATCTTCCCATCCCACACCCGTAGTCTCTGGTTTCCTCGTTTCCAACTCGTGTCGAATGGCGTTCTCCAATAATTTGATGGTAACCTCGGAAGGAACAATTTTGCCCTCTCTGATATATTCGCTGATGAGTGAGCCGAGTTGAGATCCCTCGCGGTGTTGTTCGGCACGTAAGAGATCGCCAGCTTATGGGGAATATCTGTCAATCAGCCAGATACATGTATTGAACATGAAAAGTTTACCTGACAGGTGCTTAAATCCGTAATCTCGAACTATATTGGCACATTGAGTACCTTTGCCTGACCGGGCAATCCCATTTTTTCAGTACGTCATCGTCAACGATTGAGAAGCCGACTCACCCGCTCCTGGACCTCCCAACACAAAAACGACTACAACATCCTTATCGTCGAAAATCCTCTTCTTCACAGACCCAGATCCACCCTCCTTACTCGTCTCATCCTTCTTCTTGAGATGCAAAACCTCCTTGAGTTTATCCAAAGGTGCCATCGTTTGCTCTATCCAAAAAAATTTCACTCCCTGTTCTTGACGATGTGTTTCAAGTTAAAGTTGACCCTTGGCAGTCGGTGGAACGTGAGGGCTAGCTCTCTGTTTCGGTAATCTGCTCGCTGGATTAGTGTCCTCCCTATTTCTAACAACGTACGCAAACGTTGCAAACCCAGCTAGAACAATCCCTGCGAACGCGATCGGATTCGGTGCTTTGGAAGGTGGTTTCGTAGAGTAAGAGCGGACGATTCGTTTAGATGAGGGGTTCTTGATGATGGTGGTTGAGATAACCATCTAAACAGGAGCTTTTTTTTTGCAAATCGCGTTTTTGGGCTTTTACGCTTGATTTACCAAAATTTCTCAGAAGTGTGGATTGTGGAAATTCAGGGGCTTCTTTTTGGGAGTGTTGCGCAGTTGGGATTCTAATATCTACCACGACCCCTTATCCTTGTACACCGACCCACAATGAACATCCTAGTGAGCAATTGGATGTCTTACGCTATGCTATGGAACCATCTTCTAATGCTATAGATTCCGGAAGGAAACACTATTTGGACGATCGGTGACACCCGCTGAGCGGCTGCGCCAGCATCAAAGGGCCCTGGCCAAGGCCCAACGAGAACTCGACAGGGAACGCTCAAAACTCGAGACTCAAGAGAAGAAGCTTATCGCGGATATAAAAAAGAGTGCGAAAGCAGGGCAGATGGTTCGTCCGTCTTTACCCGATAACATGAATCGCTGTTTCTCATTGCTGCCTTCGGTGGCAAACAGAATGCCTGTAAAATAATGGCAAAGGATCTGGTTCGGACAAGACGTTATGTGCAAAAGTTTTATCAGATGCGAACTCAACTTCAAGCGGTGGGGTTACGAATTCAGACACTGCGGAGTAATCAACAGATGGCTGACGCTATGAGAGGTGCAACGAGGGTCAGTATTCAATGGTCTCTAATCAACTGCTATTATTCAACTTTTGAACGATTTAGGCTATGGCTTCGATGAACAGGGGTCTCAATCTTCCTCAAATTCAGCGTATAATGAACGATTTCGAGAGGGAATCTGCAACGATGGATATGAAAGAGGAGATGATGTCAGATGCCGTTGACGACGTAATGCAAGATGAAGAAGAGGACGAAGAAGAAGAAAGTGACAAGATATTGTCACAGGTTTTAGACGAGATTGGCGTCGGTTTATCTCAACAAGTGAGATTGCACGTCTCTCTGGGCTTCATCATATCACTAAACATCCTGTTCCGCAGCTGGGCGAAACCCCCTCCGGAATCACATCAAACAATCCTCTAGCAAACAAGAAGCAACCTGTTGCAGTGGGAGAACTCGACGGCGGGGGTCATAGTTTACCAGCATCAACTAGTCGAGGTGGTGGTCAAACGTCAGAAGAGGATGAACTTCAAGCTAGATTAGACAACCTCAGGAAGCTTTGAAGTCAAGAATGTTCAGACGCTCTATCATGTCAATGCAAGCAGTAATTTGAATAGCCTAGAGATACTTCAGACATAGCTCTGGCATGTCTGGTGTACGTGGGTTACGACCACCAAGTGCTCTTCGTCCATAGGGGCATATCATTGAGCGATTTCACTGATCTACCACCTCTCGACTCGTATAGACAGCGCCGTTGTCGGGTAATTTCTGATCCACCAGACGACAAACGAGCATGAGTCTGACGATTTCAGTACCATATTGTCAATGCTAGAACCCTGATCGGAAATACATATTGAATCGGTTCTTTTTGGTGAGCAAGAGATGCTTGGTTTACGTGAAAAGACAAGGCGACGGGGTAAGCGCGCAAGATGTCGTACCAAGAGACCAAGACAAATTCTGAGTATTGGTGCAAGTATTACATGCACCACTAAATTAGAGGGGTTTGCTAGTTTATTTCCAGGTCTTACTAAAAGACCAATTCGT